CTCACCACCTCCACTGGGTCCAGAGGGCATCCAAGAACAGAGCTGAATCTCCTCGCCACCGTCTTAAACTAGTCTCAACTTCACCTATCAGGATAATACCCGTAGGGAGTAAGCGACTCTGATCCAAAGGATGGAGAGCTGTCCAGACCACCTGTACAGGGGTAACTGGGATCTAACAGTGTGAATGAGGTATGTTGTATAAAGCACTTTGAGTGCTCAGACAGAGTAGAAAAGTGCTCTGTAAGAACCAGTCCATTTTACTTGTATTCACTGACTGAACAACAGGAGGGTCATCTAACTAAAACCAATCAGTGCATCCCACCTGACCCCCTCAAAATCAAATTCTTTTTAATGATCTGTAAGTTTTATTTACATGTCCTCATAGTATGGTGAAAGTATGTCTGCAGACAGGGTACCAGTGCTTGTTGCTGTTCCTCTAGATCAAAGATATTTATTGTAGCCCAGTGAGCTGAGTGTTATAATGTAAACAGTAAAATGTAATTGGATATTGGCAGAAATGCTCTTTATCTGAGGCGACGTTCAGGATAAAAATGTTGAAGGACTGACTTACACTCTTTGTGTCTTTGTTTAGAAGCAGACCGACACAGATGGATCCAGTTCTCAACCCTGTCATCACTGTGATGGTGGGAAAGACTTTTGTTGTGACCTTTGTGGAAAAACTTTCAGTCATCAGTGGAACCTTACAATACATCAACGTAGACACACTGGAGACAAAATGAGCTTCTGCAAAGAATGTGGGAGAGGCTTCCCCACTCCAAGTGAATTAAAGCGCCATGAACTCATTCACAGTGGGGTCAAAAAGAACGTCTGTGACCAGTGTGGGTCATCATTTTTCACTGCAGATGATCTTAAAAGACATAAACGAGTCCACACAGGAGAGAAACCATACAAGTGCAGACACTGTGAGAAATGTTTCACACAATCAAGTAGTCGTAACCTTCATGAAGGTACACACGGAAGAGAACTTCAGCTGTGACAAGAGCTTCAGGAATCTCGGTTCATACTCCGAATATAAACGATCCCACGCTGTAAATAAACAGTTTCACTGTTACCAATGTGCAAAAACATTCACTTCATTTTCTGCTCTGTGCAAACATCAGCGTGATCACGCAGGACTGAAATCACTGTATCACAATCAATCTGAAGATCCTCTTCTGGTTTCAGGGTCAGACTTCAAAACCTTGAGATCAGGCTCCACAGAGTTCAGCTGGAATCTGCTGTAAAAAGTGTCAGCTGATGACACACTTGGATCTGATGTGGTAGCTCTGATATCTGGACCTGAAGTGAATAAACCTGAATGTTATAACTAGGAAGGCACAAGTATAAATATTTACATTAGTTTGTGTGTGTGCGTGTGTGTTTTAAAAGGAATTTTAACACTTAGCCCCCTACAAAAAGTAGTGTTTAGTGTCAGTACTTCCATGGATGCTTTTGGTGTTTAATAACCAGTAACCATCATGGCTTGATAAATAGACAAATAGATATATTCCCACTCTTAATACACCCAATCACTGCAGTCATTAGATAAACATTTACAGGTGGCATGTTTCTGCTTTCTACTAGAAATCTGAGGTGTATAAGGTAAACGGCAATGGAGATCAAAATCCTTCGGCACTATTATTTGCCCTGCAGTGAACTGGAAGCTGTTCAGCATGTACTATTAGAATGTCAGGTCTATGTTCAAGAAAGGAACAAGGCATTAATAGCAATTTTTAAGAAGCTGAATGTGACTAGGCTCTTTGACATTCATTTAAACACGAAGCTTCAGAAGGATTTCATAAGATGATCTATACCGCAGTTAGACTTCGGTCTAGCAAAGAGGTGATAAAGATGATTGTGTTACTAACTCTATTGTGTCTTTTTCTTTTACTGTCTGTTGAATTCCCAGTGCCACCAATCTAGGCAACACAGTGGTATAGGATAGTGATGTGCAAATGAAGCAAAGAACCATTTCATCAACTGGTTCATTAATTCAATGCTTTGTTTCAGCGCATCTAGTGGCGAAATGGGAAACAGTGAAAAAAAAGTCTAAATATTCATGTACTGAGCATAACTGGGGGTTGTGCAAAAGATACAAATATACTTGTGTAAAGATGGATTTACTGGTCAGTTGATTCTGTAAATGTACGTACTGTAGCTGAAGGAAGGATGTGCTGGGATGGTATGGTGTGCTCATGTAACTAGCGCAGGGTGTGAGAAGGGATGAGGTGCCGAACATTTAGTTTTTATTAAAAAATAATATTTTTTCCTCTTTTTAGAATTGCTTCATTTTTGCTGACAGTTTCTTCATGGCACTGATGAGGCTTGGTGTTGCTTTGCTACCACAAACAAATGTAAGTAATTGCTTGGACATGTTCTCTCCCATCAGTTCTGCTGTCATGTTGGTGGTATTGCCCATTATGGCCATCTTAATAAAGATCTATCTGTCTATCTATGTCTCCGTGACTCTCTTCTGCTGGAACATTTCCACTGTTACCATGTAAAATGGGTTGAGCAATGCTAAATAAGATGCTATTTTTCATGGTCCTTGGAAGAGAGAAGATTAACTTCTGTTCTGAGTGATGCCGTATGTGTTAACAGACCTCTCTGCATTGAATCATATCTGTTGTTAACCTCTGTCTCTCTTCCACAGCATGTCTTTATCCTGTCTTCCTTCTCTCACCCCAACCGGTCGCAGCAGATGGCCCCGCCCCTCCCTGAGCCTGGTTCTGCTGGAAGTTTCTTCCTGTTAAAAGGGAGTTTTTCCTTCCCACTGTCACCAAAGTGCTTGCTCATAGGGGGTCATATGATTGTTGGGTTTTTCTCTGTACCTATGTAGCACCTTGAGGCGACTTTTGTTGTGATTTGGCGCTATATAAATAAAATTGAATTGAATTGAATGCCCGAGGTCCTTGAGCTGTCTGCCTCTCATCAGCGCTGTAGCATTAAGAAGGTGCTGTTCCAGGGCCTGTACATAGGAACATGCAAACAAACATTTTTAAACATTTGATACATAACTATCAAGGTACATAAGCTGTGTCCAGCCTACGAATCCGCCCGACAAATGTGTCCTGTTTTTTTCCCCCAGATTTGAAGGATGGGTCGTTGTGTCCTTTGTGGTCCACCATATTCCAGAATTCATAGCACGGCCCAGCCAATTCCAGTTTCCAACAACGGCGGCCACTACTAAGTTTTAATATTACTCTTATTAATCTTTCTGGGTCACAAAATAATCTTTTAACATATATATTTTTATTTTTAAACCCATGAAAGCATCCTTTTTTCCAGTAGCTAAATCACTTTTTTTTTATCTTAAATTGTGTCGAGTGGAAAGTTTAGATTTTTAATGTCATGTGTGATGTTCTTGTATGTGATTTAATTACTCAGAAATTCCACAAATGTGCCTCTTTTGACAACAATCATTGTATACCTCAGTTTTAACTTTCAGTTCAGTTCTAGTTCAGGGTCACCTACACGGTATCTGCCCACCCCGAGTCCATCACAGGGTTAAATAATTTTGGTCTAATTGAGTAGGATTAATGTGAACTCATCATAAGAAGGTTTTAGGTTTATTCTTTAGTCCAGGCAATAGGACTACCTCAAGCTTTACTTGAGTCAGGATTCAAAGTTCTGTCTGTCATTTTCCTTAACTCATTCACTGCCATTGACGTCTATAGACATCAATGGCAGTGAATGAGCAGTGGGGAGTTACCTGATTTGAAAATGGCTGGCAGTGAATGAGTTAATTATGTTCAGCTGTGTCCAGTTCCCAATTAGCCCTGAGTGTGTGAGAGAGTATTTGTAGCCCTGTCTCTTATCTTTTTAGTTAACATGTTAGTTTATGCTTCCTGAGATTTTGTTGCTCTTCGTTTTCCTTGCATTGTGGACTTGAGTGGATATCCCAAATAAAGGTTAGTTTGTGTTTATTCTGTTGCCCCGTAAGTCCTGTGCTTTGACTTATGCCTTGCTGAGCCCTGACAATGTAAGAACTTCTGAATGTGCCAGAATCTATTTGGGTCTTAGTTACAGAGAGTTCACTCTGTTATGGAGAAGCATGTGGTCATCATCTTGACTGGTCCTTAAAAACACAGCATCCAACAGGAATACATGCCTTCTCCAGAAGTCTGTACTAAAAGGCAAGATTTTTATTGTTGTTAGGTTTTTTTAAAAAACCCAAGTTTTCTGTGTCATAAGAGTGGTCCACCCGTTACTGGGTTACATTGGCATACTGTCACTAACTGGCTCAAAGCAATTTATGTTCAAGTTTGGGGGCAAATAAGCATGAAACACTGCCTACAGACCAATAAATTCTCTGATGATGGTCAAAATCTGTACAAGATCACTGAGACCTGTGATTGGATAGTAGGTGGGTCTAAAGTCTGTTCTGTAGAATAAGCATGTGTTTGAAATATTTTCGTATTTTTATTTTTTACATGCCTCGATACTGAAACGCCACCACATCTATTTGTGTCCCTGCTGGTTAGCAAGTGGAGAAGAGTCTGACGAAGCAGCAGAGCAACATTTTTGAGTCATTTAGGCTCAGTTTAGCCACCACAGAGGAAACGATGACTTCAACAGAAAAGGTAAGGAAAATATGTTTCACTACTATTGAAACTGTGCCCTTCATCGTCTTCGGTTGGTTTGCTTGATGATGGTCACAATTTGCTCAAAAGTTGACACAAAGTTCATTTTAACGGGCACCAAAACACAGGCTAGGTTTATATTAAGCCCCCAATAGTACATCATGTAATGTTATTTGTATATATTACTCTTTCTATAATATAATTTTAATTACTGTTGTAGCACACATTACATTTACACTTTTCCTTCATTAGATATTATTGTATTACAGTTTGGAAATGTTATACAGTAGTTGTTGTGGTGATCTCTAGTCTCTCATCCTGTAGTTCAGCAGATTTGAACGCCACTGTGTTGGAGTGCAGCTGGTGGCAGTAGTACTTGCTCTGCTCTGCTACATGCTTTAGGGTCACTCTAACCAGAACCTGCAAAAGTTCCACATTTTACTATTATAATTCTTTATAAAATTCTTGTCAAAATAATGTGAAATTATTTAAGGGTTTGGCCTAGTAGTCTCATTAAATGTAACTCTAGGGATAAACAAATGCTGGTGTAATGACGGTGTCAGCAGTCTAAGGTGTTCTAGAATACAATTTAAAAACCTGTAGAAATATAGACCTCTCCCTTTCCTATCCCCCAGCCATGTCTGCCCAGTCTGTAACAACTGAAAATAAAATGAAAAATAACAACAAAGGTTGATCAAATGGACCAAAACGGCAAGGCCGTGATCATCCACTTGGCAAAGTAAATCTGTTGGGTATCCTTGTTGGCTTTCAGCTAAATTTGTCTAATCTAAGCAGTCAAATCAAAGACAAGAACAAGACTGAATATTTGTGTGTACAAGCACTAGGAATGGCAATGACGTGAGAATATTTAAATACTTAAATCTGATAGTTCCATAGACTATACTACCAAATTATTGTTTGGTTCTTCTGACCATTTGTATATAATGTACTACCACTAGTAGATGGTTGAAATAGGCCTCTGGTTTAAAATTATACAGAAAACTGGAGGGAGTTTGACTGTTCAGTTTGTTCCATGACTGTATTTAACTCAATGCCTCTGTTGGTATTTCTGTTACTGCAGGATCGAAATGGGCAAAGATGTCAGCCCTCTCAGGAGGCTGACAAACCCCACGGGGGAAGAAAATACAGCTGCAATGAGTGTGGGAAAGCTTTTACTCGAAAGGAGTCCCTAAGAAAACACACAGACGTCCACACTGCAGAGATTCTGTTCATCTGTGACTTGTGTGGAAAATGTTTTACTTGCTTTGGTAAATTGCAAAGACACCAACTAATCCACAGGGGATATAAACAGTTTAGATGTGACTTGTGTGGGAAGTCCTTTACTCAGCAAAGTGCCCTAAAAAAGCATAAAGTCTCTCACAGTGATATTACAGCATACCGTTGTGATCATTGTGGGAAGCGTTTTACTCAGAAAGAAGGCCTGGAAAACCACAAGTTCATCCACAGTGGAGTTAAACCATACAGATGTGATCAGTGTGGTAAAGATTTTACTCAAAGTGGTAGCTTACGGAGGCATGGAGTTACCCACTCTGGAATTAAGGCGTACAGCTGTGACATTTGTGGGAAAACTTTCAACCATTTAGGGAACAGAAATAGACACAAACGCATTCACACAGGACATGAGGTTTACAGCTGTGATCAGTGTGACAAGCAGTTTACAGAAAAAAGATACTTAAAACACCACATGTTTACCCACACTGAGGAGAGACCGTATAAATGTGAACTGTGTGAGAAGACTTTTAAACTTTCATCGTCCCTTAAAATGCACAATCAGATCCACACCAGAAAGAAACTCCACAAGTGCAGTTACTGTGAGGTATGTATTTTTTTTCTTTCTGGGGTATCAACACTTGTTTCTGTTCCTCTACGTCATAGAAACAAACTTTAAAATAAAGTTTATTTAAATGTGTAACTTATGTTAAATGTCTTTGTTTAGAAGCAGAACAACCCAGAAGGATCCAGTTTTGAACACTGCTATCGTTGTGGTGGTGGGAAAGCATTTCGTTGTGACATTTGTAAAAAACCTTTCAGCCAGGAAAGGACCTTAAAATTACATCAACGTAGACACACTGGACACAAAATGAACTACTGCAAAGAATGTGGGAGAGGCTTCCCCACTCCAAGTAAATTACGACATCATGAACTTATACACAGTGGCATTAAAAAGTACCTCTGTGGCCAGTGTGGGTCATCATTCGCCACTGCAGGTAACCTTAACATGCATAGACAAATCCACATGGGAGAGAAACCATATAAGTGCAGTCACTGTGAGGAAAGCTTCTCACATTCAAGTACTCGTAACCTTCATGAAAGAACTCATAAAGCTACACCTGTGACTAGTGTAACAGGAGTTTGATCTTAAAAGTATTTTAAAGTGTAAATAATTTGTTTTATCTTTGAGGAATTAAATGTGGTATAACCTCCACACACTGTCCTGCTTACCATTAAAGTTGAATATTGGTAAGTGTGGCTGTGTGGTGCTTATACTATTTTTCTCCACAAAGAGAAGGTTCCCAAGTTTCTTTAAGAATTTTTTTTTTTTTAAACTTTAAATGCATAGAAATTTCCTACTAATTTTATTTTTTATCTTGTATAGAACTTTTTAAATGCTTATTCAACCTGCTGTGGTAATCCCTACTACTTTTCACAGAACTGATCCAGAAACGTCAAATGCAACGTAAGAAAATGTTAGCGAATGGGGAGAACTGCTGATACAATGGTAGAATACAAAATCACAAAAGACAATGCGTTTCTGGGGAGACAATTTTGCCAACGAGCTTCAGAAGGGGAAAACTACAAATAATGGGACATATTACACTTAAACACATTTAGAAAGGGTGGCGAGTTCTCAAGTTCTTTGACGGGGGGAAAAAAATAAAAATTTGGCATTTTTTCATCACAAAATTTATGTAGTATTGTAGATGTTTAATGTTAGTGGTTTACTGTTAGCCTGTTACTTTTGCAGCTTTGCCATTACATGATTGTCTTCTCACAAACGCTTCCATTGAGACTTGTCCAGGATGCTGCGTGTAATTTATTTATTAACATTTCTAGGCCAATTTAAGATTTGAAGACTTTTTTTTTCTTTCTTAAATGTTCTGGGGATGTTCATCAAATATGACTAAGGTAACACTAATTTGGTGTAAAAATAAATAATTGGTTTCATAACAAATATTTGAGCCATGATTTCACTTCCACTGTCTGAGTAAAGACTGACATGACAAATAGTAACATTTAACAGTCTGAATCCAAATTTTTATTTTATATATATATAAAAAAAAAAAAAAAACACCCAGCACGCCCCTGCGGGCGGTTTATCCTTCAAGCTCGGGTCCTCTACCAGAGGCCTGGGAGCTTGAGGGTCCTGCGCAGTATCTTAGCTGTT